TGTTTGGTTCGGGGTTCAGGTTCCTGTTTGGTGGCTGTCTCTGACCAAGGTAATTTGGTTACACAAAGTTTGAAGAGTTTATGGGATCCATCATGCTGGCCGATGCATCTTCCTACACATTCACAGTTCTACGCAGAAAACAGTTGTGACCCATGTGGAATGCATAGTTTCACACAGAAGCCTTCAATTTTGGTGAAACAGTCCAGAATTAAGAGGTTCTTTGCTTCCTGGATCTATGTCCTGCAGAGTTCATGCTTATACCTTCCAGGAATGAATTTTTGGACAAAATCTGAGAAATCAGGGAATTCCTGCACACCTGTGGTCTGAGTCATATAGCAGGTGTTGGGAACCATGCAATTAATTACCAGTACGGGTCTGAGGAAGGCAGGGAAATGCCTGGAGCCACAGATGGGACCCAACATTTCATCTGCCCGTTACCAACAGCTGCTTCCTGTCCTGCCTGCAGCAGTGTGATCTGGGGGTGGACTTTCTGCTCCTTTGTGCAGCAGGTCTGCCCCAGACAAGGCTCAGTAGTGCTCCACAAGGTGGGATTTCCCTCAGGAAATATAGCCATCCGAGGTCAAAGATGTGCCGTATAAAACTTTTCTCTGCACATTGTCCTACTCTTTTCCTGCCCACCCACAACAATTCATCCTGCGTTTATTAGCTCTCTCGTTATTCCCCTCTTTTGGTTGCTTAGAGTTTTGTTAAGAGGGCTCCCCGAGTGGAGCTCAGGAGCAGCTGGAGGCCACTGTGGGCCTTTTGGGTCGCTCTTGGCTGGAGGGAGGTTGTGGGTAGAGTGGTGTGATGGATCAGTTGGGCTTTGAGCTGATCTCTGTGGATAGAGGGCACCCGAGTGGTTTTTAGGGCTTCCTCCCCAAGAACCAGGCCTGCCACGTGTGCTGTGTGGGCACACAGGCCCTATGTAAGCTATGTAAGGTAGCAGGATGAACTCTTGGATGGGGAAGGAGGATGTGTCCAGAGAAATGAAGCTGAACTGGTATCTCACGGTAACTTCTGTAGGCACAGGCCCAGCCTGCAGTAAATTCATGTTGTCATGATCTCGTGTGAAACCAGGGCAAACCAGCAAGAATGGACCTGTACACTGGTGGGCTAGGGCTGGTTTTCAGGTCCAATATCCCAGCAATCATGGTGGGGGTACAGAAAAGTTTCAAGTGCAGTCCTGCTGCCTCCTGCCTTGGAACCTTCTAGAGCAAATTGGACATCAAAGCTGCATTTATTTAACCGTGCTGTGTTTCTGAGAGATGATGGGCTGCTCTCTTGTGCTGCACCAGTTCCTGATTCTGGTAATTCAAATTTCCAAACGATGTAAGTGCAGATTCGGTTGGATGCTGCTTGCCAAAGTGCATGTTCCCTGAGGATGTGAAGTTCTGGAGCTGGAGCAGTGAGTTTTGCAATGCACCGAGACAAAGTGTCAGCTAAACTCTCAGTAGAGCTGAAGTGCTTTTAAATATATAATGATCATCAGTATATATTTTTAATTAAAAGTTTATAGTACAAATTACGGTATGGAGGGCTGCGGTCAAAGTGGAAACAACAGTCACTTCATTTTAGTGCCTGACTGTTGCTTTGTTTGTTAATGTCGTTGTTTGGTTTGACTGTATAATGTTTGCTAACAAATCCAGAGCGACTCCCTTCTGCTTTGTGAAGTCTGGTGGAGAGTTTTGTGAGAAGGAGGGCAAAAATGTTAGGGAGCTGTAAAACCTCAGAGTTCAGTATCATAGAATAATAGAGTCATTAAGGTTGGAAAAGACTTCTAAGGTCATCTAGTCCTAATATCCACCATCATCAATATTGCCCACTGCCCACGTCCCTCAGTGCCACATCCCACGGTTCTTGACCACCTCCAGGGATGGTGACTCCACCACCTCCCTGGGCAGCCTGTGCCAGAGCACCACCACTCTTTCTGAGAAGAATTAATATCCAACCTGAAACTCCCCTGGCCCAACTTGTGGCCATTTCTTCTTGCACTACCAAAAACTTGGTCAGCAGTTTGGCATTGCTCCTACACAAAGGATGCGCGTTAGAGAGGTGTCACAGAAGTGGTAAATGCTGTGGAAAAGGAGTCTGTTCCCTTGTGCCACTGCTTGGGAAATGTTGGGTGAAAGTGAGTGATTCAAAGTGAAAAGAAGTAAATGCTTTTCTGTGTAATGTGTAACTAAATGGTTGAATTTATCATACAGAATATGGCTGAGGGCAAGAATTGAACCAAGTCTGGAAAGAAGATAGGACAGTTGCATGACTATCAGGTGCTTTGCCAGGTAATAGTGTTGCCTTTTATATCACGAACATCTAATTGGAAAGAAAAGCATTTCACATAGCTTTCTGTGAAACATCTCTTGCTGGCTGTAACTGGAGAAAAGCAGTAGCTTTTTCAGTAGTAACAAAACAAATGGTTTGCAATAAGACAGTTTCCATGCATCGGTGGGAACACGTTCCCTCAGGATGCCCACAACAGGCTCTCCATTCCTTGCTCATCGTGGTTGCGCAAACAGAGAGAACTCAGTAGCATTTCATTCCTTGTCAGGCATCTGAATGGTGGACCCATGCTGCAGTGCCTTTCTCCTAATAAGCCTCCCTGGCCACTGGGCTTTGAGCTGAGTTCCAGCCATGGTCCTTCACCCCGCAGCCTCTGGCTGCCTGAAGTTCTGGGGAGCTCTTCAGGTGTTGTGAGTCCAAATGCTCATCCCTGAGGGTGCACTGAGAGGTCTTGGAGGTGTTGTAGTGATGACAAGGAAATGTGCATTCCCTTTAGGTATGCCTGTGTCTCTAAGGCATTTTACTTTTTAGACATAGATAAAGCTTGAGGGAAGAAATGTGAATACAAATTTCTGTCTATATGATCTACCAGAAGACTGGGATTTAGCACCTGTGCTTGCTTTATGCATGTGTGAACAAGACAATGAGACTCTCACCTTTTATTCAGATAATGATTTACCCCACTAAATCATCATCTCCCTCTGCTCTCACAGCAGGGCAATTCTGCTAAAAGCTAGAGAGCTTACTGGAACTGCAGCCACATTTGAAAAGCAGGCAAGAGTGGGGGAGATGGAAACCATGCTTTATCTGAGGATGTGGGTTACCAAAGACACTGATTTGGAAGGTACAATAACTTTAAAGAGTGTGGGTTACCTATAGGAAAATACAGGACTTGAAATAACTTATAAACAACAGTTCCAGAGGAGATATTGGATGGCAGGTGTTGCAGTCAACTTTTACGTGTGCACCAGGAGTCTCTGAAGGACGGTGTCAGTAAAGTAAGAAGAGCTCAGTGTTTTACTCCTCTTAATGTCAGGAGTGTTTTGTTTTGTAAAACAAAAACAAACACAGAAAAGAAAACAACAAATCAAACCGAAAACCACAGACCAAAAAAAGCCCACAGAGTTAACAAGCTTTTGACAGCTTGTGCTTGCCCAAGGAGTGGAGGTTAGCTGTGCGCAGGGCTCTGCTCTTTCTGCTCCTCCTCCTTCTGGGCATGGCAGGCAGGTAGAGTTCAGAATGTTTCTAACCAAGCGTGAAAAAAAAAAAACACAACACCACTACCCACACTTAATCATTGTGATTAAGGTTACTGGTAGAGACACCTCAGTGCAGAGACTGCTTTAATCTCAGAAGAGTTGGTTTCAATCACGTTCTGAGCAAGCGCGAGAGCTGGCATGGAAATGATCATTTTAAGTAGCTGTCAGCAAGTCTCTGTCCTTTTAGGTTGTTGGTATCTGTTGTTGGAATCTGTGGGTGACAGTGACACACGTGTGAGTCACTCAGAAGCGCTCCCAAACTATCTCAATATGCTCAAGAAAGGAAAACAAACACGGGTAGAGTTTTGCTGATAACCTTTTCTTAGAAAAAAAATACAAGTTTTGATCATTTCTTAGTGAGGATGCTTATTGGTTCCTCATAATACAGTGATTCCTCACTAACCCCGTAATTACTTTATTTGATCTGAGGGCATGGTGGTGATGGGTTGGTGGTTGGACTGGGTGATCCTAAAAGTCTTCTCCAGCCTTAGTGATTCTATGAGTTGGGATGCCATTGTTACGCCAGTTGTGATTCGGTGTGAAGTGGATGGTGCTCTTTGGGATTAATTCCTTTTGGAGGGATCCCATTTTGCACATAAGTGGGTTTATGCACTTGAGCATCTGAGTAGGTGCCTTTCAGCACTTGGCTGCCTTCCTCTCTCTGCTGCTGCTGCCCAGTGATGCTTCAAGGCAGGCAAACTTCCGCCAAATCTTGGATGGCTGTGCTGCCAGTGGAATAGTTAGTTGAGATTTAATACGGCCATTATCTTAAGGTAATAAAATATCAACTAACTTGCCATAACTATCTTGTTTAATGTCTATTAAAAGCCCCACATACTTCATTGACTGGGTGAAATTTAATAGAAGTTCAGCTAAGCATTTATTGCTTATTTAATTTAAAAATAAGTTGATCTCCACAGTTGGTAACAGGCACTGAGGATTTAATTAACATTCAGTAAACTACCCTGTTAGCTCTGAATTACACAGTCAGGTCTTGTTTATGCATCCATTTGTAACTCCCCCCTTCCCCTGCTTCAGGCCAGTGGATGTCAGTGTCAGGAGCTGCAGTTCTTCCTTCTTCTCTTTCCTCCTGGGCTCCCGATTGCTGCTCCAGCTGAAGCCTTTGCCAGGGTTGCACAGCTCAGTGACTGGCAGCCTGCTGCTATTTGGGGCTCCCTGGCAGCCTGGCCAGTGGGCAAGGCAGGGAGGATGAAGGAAGCTGATACAGACTTGTGTTTGAGAAGAGGCTGTGGGATGGATACGGGTGCTTTGCATGAGAAGGTAAAAGCGGTCCAGCTGCATGCCTTGATTATTTAAAATACATCCTCTAGGGCTTTTTCAGCAATGAAGCTGGCTGTATGAAACTCAGTTTTCTGAAGAGAAAGTTAGTGTGTTCCACAGGTGACTTGCAGCCAGTCTGCTGCAGTTCTCATGTTGGTTGTGCCCTGACTGCTGTATGGCTGTATGGCACTGGGTGTGCATCATCTGTGTGCCGAACACCTGTATCCCAAGGAGTTCTCTCTATTTTAGCAGTTTATTACGTCACCTTAACAGACTTGAATTACTCTCCTTAATGAGGCAAGCTTGAATGAAGGCAAGGAGTCTCAGTCAGTATGCTGCAGCAGGGACTGGTTGAGAGGATGCTTGGATTAGCAGCTAAGCAGCGGTGGCTCCGGCTGCACATCCACCCTGCCTTGCTCTGGTGGCAGCCGTGTTTGTGTTTCAGCTTAGCCCCAAAGGAGATCAACTGGCTTGAAGTGAGCACACCTCATGGCTTGAGGCATGATTTGCTTTTCGTGGGTTTGGGCAAATTTTGAGAGATAACTCCAGCTATTACTGCGGCCAAGACAAGCCTTTAATCTGGATTTCACAAGACAAGCAGATAGTGATTGCAGTAGACATGTGGCAATGCTGTAGTTAATTACAAGCTACACACTTGGTTAAAATCATGGTATTATAGTTGCAAAGTCCGAGCACTTCAAACCTACAAAACGCATGGATGAGAGTCGTCAGTGAAACTTTAATTTGACCCCACTGCAACTAGATATTATGATATAGGTACTTAATTGCTAGAGCACCTACTCTTTATGCTCAGAATGGAAGGTGATACTTAATGAGCAGCTATTTGGTTTCTTTTTTGTGCAGTTTCTGGCCCCAAGCTTTATTTACCGCATGCCATTCAAACTCAAGGCTGAATGCAGTATTATTAATTTCCTTTTGATGCTTTTCTAGAGTTCTCTTTGCTCTTCCATTGAAGTGTTTTGCACATTGGGGTGACTATTTTTGTGGTGCCCCCCTGAGGTGAAGGAAAATTATTCTTGCCATTTTACTGATGGGGCACTGAGGCTTGGTGAGGAGTGAAGCTGAGAATTGTGTCATCCCCGACACTGAAATACAGGAGGAAAAAAAGCCGTTTGGACCAGGTTTGCTCACTTTGGTTTGCAGTCATAACTGATAACCAAACAGAGAAAAATAGTTAAAAAAGAAGTTTGTAAATACAGAGTGAATTTAGTAGCTTTCCACCCAACTCTGAAGATTACTCTGAACCATGCATAGCAGTTGGACTTATCTTTACAGTCCATCTCCCTCATCTTCTTTGCTTTTACCAGCCTCCTATGGGTTATTGTCATCCTTGGCTGGGGGCCAAAGACTGTGTGTGGGTATCAAAGTGCCTGGCTAAGTATGGAAGCTGGTCTTTGCCTCTGGCATTTGGATGCTTTTAAATCCAAGCTATGAAAGTGGGAGGTCCAAAAGTGGACCATGAGAATGAATGAAGTCCAGATGGTATCTATGTATAACATATTTCACTGAGTGGAGTAAGGGGAATGGAGACTCCACATCATCAGCTGTATATTCTTCAGTGGCTTTTTTTTCCTGTGTACAGTAAGATCACCAATTTTAGGGTCTTTTAAGCTTCCTCTAGAGCTGTGGTGGTTCTCTATCACTTTTATAGCGGGATGTTTTGTGGGAGACTGCCTGTCCTCACAATGCTTGTTCTGCTTTCTCTAGCACAGTCCCGCTTTGGTGTGTTCGCAGGGGATCCTCTCCTTCCTAGAGTTCCTGGGGAGGTGCAGAGCAATGCTTGGGAAACACAGCACTGCATCTTTGCCATTTAAGGAAGGCTTGGTGAACCTTCTGCATAGTAAGTCTGAAATTCAAGTGCGTGAGTAATCCAGCTGAATTCTCTGCAGCTACTTGTGTGCCTAAAGATAAGCAAGGGTTTAAGCGTGTTCCTGAACCAGAATCCTAATTTACTTCAAATGCAGACAGATGGGGGAAGAAACAGTGGGTGAAAGGGTTAATATTATCTAGGGAGAAATTGTTTCTTTGTTCAGAAACAATTCTGTGGCATGCAGAATGGCAGTACCCTCACTGCAATAGGCATCCTCATACGGAGCAGGAGATCACCTTGTGAGCGCAGGAGATTAGTCCTAAACTTCTAACAGTGGCATTAGGCACACCTCTGTGCTACTGTAGGGATGATGGCAGCTTTCTTGGCATGTAACTCCTCTTTCAGAATAGACAATTGGGAGTGAGGACATAGCAGCAGCTGAGTTTAAAACAGTACATGCAAGCATGCTTTTTCTGAGGTGCTCCACCCACCCAGGTGTCTGAAGTGTCTGGGGAAAAGGATGGCAGCTCATGAAGTGCCTCCGCTGCTTGTTTCATTGCTTTGCACAGCATGTTTTATCTGCTGAGTGGGGAAGTGCTGTGAAATTGGGGTGTGAGTGCATGTGGAGGCTCTGGTTATCAATACAGAGCTGAAAAAGGGAAGGAGCTGCGAGAGCAGAGCTCACTTCCTTACTGCACACAGGGGTCCCTGCACAGCATCTTTATTTGTGAGTTATTCTGCATGAGATCAGCTTACATCCCCTCATTGTACTTATGGCATCCGTATGTTGATTTGTGATCCCCACCCCCTGCCTTTAATTTATGAGTAGGTACGGGTTGTCATCTCTTCTTTACACTGCCTCTTATATTGCTGTACTGCCATCTTGGAGTGAAAAAGAGGATTCATGCTCCAAGATGTTACAGTGGCTGCCTGCATGGGTCATGGCCTACCTGGGAGAGTGTGAGAACACTCATAGGGATGTCATGCCCTTACCTGCACTGCTGAGTTCCCTGCATACAGTAGCCTGTGCTTATGGTCTGAGTGCACCCTTTTTTTTTCTGCCTGGGGTGGTGTTTTAGCTCTCGGATCATGCTGTCACATCCAAGAAGTTCTCACAAAAGTGATCTGCTGGCTCTAGGTTTGTTGTGTTCAGGGCTGCTCCCCATACCTTGAAGGTAAGGACCTGCAGTGAAGCAGGAACAACCATATGGGTTGGTTTTTTTTTTTTTTTTCTTTTTCAACAGCTCTTGATAAATTTCTCATGTCTCAGGTGGTTTGATTCATACCTGGCTAAGGGTGTGCCCTCATTCATGGGTGGAACTGGCTGTACAAAGCTGGCTGTGTGTATCAGGAAGTCCCACGTTGGATCCATCTGGTCTAATTCCAGCTATTCTAGTGGAAAAACCTTTTAGGACAGGAATATTTTCTGTGTGTTTTAGCTGTGCACGTTCTACTGGAGGTATAATGGAGGTGTTTCCAAACACTTTTGATCTCCAGAACAAGACAAGGCTTATCCACCTCGAGAACGGCATGAGTAATTCTGGGCACAGTGTTGCTATGTTTGAGGACTCCTGCTTACCCTTCTCACTGTTTTACTTCCCTATTCATGGACACTGTTGTCTTGTGTCGTCTGTATCTCTAACTATGAACTGTAGCCTCTTGGTTGTTACAGTATCCAGAGGAGGGCAGTTTGCTCTCCAAGCTGTGCGTTGGAAGTCCCAGGAACCCAAGCAGGGGCTGTGTCTGCAGTGGGGTCTGCTGAGCTCCAGCCCTGGGAGCTGAAGACAACCCAGAGAGTGCTGGTAGGAGGGCAGAGAGTTTGACGTGGGGACAGAGATTGGTTATGGGGGAAGATGAAAAGGATGTCAGAAGTGTGTGTTAGCAGAATGTGACTAAGATGGAGATCTGATTAGTATTGAAATGTATCTGCGGTGGAAAGGAGAGCAGCAACTTCTGGCAGAGCAGTACTGTATGTCTAGGATTTGCAGTGTGGTGCAAAGCAATTCTGAGTCATGTAAGTCTAATTCTAAGTCACATAAGGCACTGGTGGTTGTGCTATTGCAGGCAATTAGCGTGTATAATTCTTATCATGAAGTTGCTTGTGTCCATTTAGAACATACTTGGGCTCTTTGCTGGGGAGCTCTGTTCCTGCAGTGCTCTTTATAGTGGCCCCTGAGCTGTGTACCCTCCTCCGTCTCATTCCTCAGCACTTAGTCACCGGAGGCCTTTGTGGGAGGGAGGGACACCCAAGAGTAATGTGTAACCTGATGCAAAGTCCCCTGCCAGCAGGAATTTAGGTGGCTCATCAGCTGCAGCATGGCTGCTTGGAGCCCACAGGAGACCTGCTGGCTGAGAGCACTCAAGGCTGTACCTCATGCCTCCATCGTCGCTTCAGACGGTGATATCTGGCAGGGGAGATAAGGCCACATGTGCAAATACAGAATGTGGGTTTAGGTCTTGGTCCAGCATTCACATCCATAAATAAGCCAGTTCCTTCCTTATGATAACTTTTGTGTGCACTTCACAAACACAAACCAGCTAATCACAGCAGATGTTTGGCAGCAGCCTGAGTTCATGAGGAAATTAAATAGCATTGCACTTTTCTAGAGAGATGCCTGGGATCCAAGCAACACCTGTTAGAGGAGCACGTCTGAGCTGGGACACCTCCATGGCAGCGTGGACTCAACTTTGCGTAGCACTGCCTTGGTGATGTTGGGCCGTACCAACCACAGCAGAACTTCCTTCAGTTTTTCAGGGGGGAGGTGGGATTTAGACCTGGATATGCACATACACACTTGGTTAAAACCCAGTTAAAAGGAGGTGGCAGTGGATTTTGTTTGCTGCCTTGTCTTTTACAAAAAACTCCCTGCTGCTTTGTTTTCCCCTACTTTTTAAGGGGAATTTGGGTGTTTTCAAATACTAATTGTTTTCAAAGAGTATGAAGCTATGGCACACCACAGAAAAGCAAGGAATAAGGAAGGCTCTGTAAGTCAGTGTAACCTCCAAGATTCATACCCATCTTCTTAATGAAATTCAGCTGCAAAAGGGAAAAAGAATCATCCTCGTGGTGTATGGATTGTTAGTGCCCATCTGCAAAGAGCAGCCTGACCTAAAGCAAGTTCCTGCTGCAACTGGATTTTTTTTCGTGATGCTTAGGAAGATGAAGATGTTTGGCTTTTGTGTTCAAAAAGGACCCAGGACTTGTATCTCCCAGCTTCTATTTTGTGGTGATTTTTGCCCTGAGTTTCAGGCAGGATTATAAGGCTGCTGAGTGGAGTGTGAGGCAGCAATGGGACAGTTCTGAATTACTGATAAATCAAGGACTTTTTGTAGGTGTTTCCTCACTCAGATTTTTGTAGTTCTCTGCTAACTATGAATCAGAGCTCAGGATATCAGCTTCTGCTGTTCAGCATCCCGTGCAGAAGCCTCCAGTGTATTCTGGTAGCACGGTGGCTGTAGACTGCTGATCTCCATCATCATTCTGAACCTGCTCCTGGTGCTCCCTGTTTGCCAGGCGCATGCATCTGACTCACCCTGTGCTTTCTGCAGCCACCACTGCCTGGCCTTTTTGTCTGCATTAGTTTAATTGACTGAGGCGCTTGCAAGAGAAGCTATTCATTCCCCTGGTAACTGTACTTGACAATCAGAAGTTATTCTTGGGGTGAAGGACCGGTGTGGATTTGTTTTCCTTGGCTGCAGATCCATAGCCCCTAATAGTTTCTCACTAATATGAGCCGAGGTTGACTTGGTTTGCCACTAATTAAAAGCCAAAAGGATATGCGGTCCTCTCTGCAATAATTACCCTCAGTGGGAAATGGAAGGGAGCTCTGCTTGCTTCCCACTTGTTTCCAGGCCCCTCTATTTCACGTTTTACTCACACCAGCCATGATGCATGGGGAGCTCATTCCCTTGACTAAAGGAGGGTCAAGTCTTACTGTCAGAGTTGCCATGAGTTCGTGCTTGAATCCTTTCTCAGCTGAAAGTTGCTTCTGGATGAAAGGAAAAATAGGGAAAAAGCATGCAGCTGTTAAAAATGTTATGAAACCTCAGAGCAACTTTTTTTTGGGAGGGATTGGATTTTCTTGGTGGGAAGCTGTTAAAAACAGGAGAGATGTGTGTGTGCCCCGTGTGCTGGAGCATGTTTAGTCTCTGCTTTTTTTGGGTTAGAAAATAAGAAAAGGTTTTGACTACACTCATTACCGGGAACTCTGAATGCAGCAGCTGGAGTTCCTAGATAGTTTGGTTTCTATCAGTAATTGGTTTCAGATATGCATTAACTTTGATTCACACATTGCTCTAGGCCCAGTGGTGCAGTGAGAGATGTCTTCTCCCTGCTCTCTCTCTGCATGTGTCATTGGATGGGCTGCGGGTAGCAGGGCAGCCACAGGAAAGGCTCATAGAAGCCCCTCCTAGGGGTTGTGTGGGAGTGTCCTGTAGCACCACAGGGCTGAGGGCTGAAAGATGTCTGTGGACATCCCCTGTGTTTGGACTGCAGGCAGCAAAGGCTCCCTGTCCCCACCGTGACCTTGTGGTGAGCTTTTGGCCTCTGGGCACCTCAGGGATGCTGTGAGTCTCCCTGGATCAGGCTTGGAGGCCAAAGCAGGATCAGCCCCATGAGTAGTGCTTCTTGTGGGGATGTCCAGGCTGGTGCTGGAGGCCCTGCTGGTGGTCCACTCCTATGCTTTGCTAGTCTGGGCACAAAAGCAGGCTGTGCTCTGCACTGGGTGTGTTCCCAGCATTGCTGTGATTGCAAGGAGCTGCAGAGCTGCTGTATCTTCTTAATCTGCCTGTTTCACAAGGCGGTATCTGACTGTGCCCTTAGTAACAGGTTTTTTAATGCAGATTGAGTCCCTTCTTTTAATTGACTAAGCAGAAAGAACTTGGAGAGGGGATGAACCCGTGACCTTGAGATAAATAGTTTCTTATTGAGTCCCTGGGCCCCTAAACCACCCCCTCTTCTGAGAGTAGCGTAGTTTAATCAAAGGTCAGGGGTTTTGTCTTCTTTGAGAGCCTCAGCAAAAGAGGGCCAGGCTTGTGAGCTCTTCTTGCTCCTCCGTGACTGCAGTCATTCTTGTCCTGTCAAGTTCCCATTGAGCCCGCTGTGCTTGTTTTCTGTTCCTGGATGACGACTCTGTTGACCTTCTCTGGTCTCTGTGAATACTGATAAAGGCTGGGGGTCGAGTCAGCTGTGTTTCTGGGAGTTGTAACTGGATATATGGTGGCTGTGGGCAAATGGCTGCTGTTAGCCTCTGCAATGTGCAGTCTTGCTGGTTTCATAGGAAACTGTCCTCCCTTGCCAGCTCTTCCCCCGCAGATGTCTCCTGTTTCTGGACTGAAGGCTGTGTGATATCTCTCAGTGCTGCATGGTCAGACCTGTGACTGCTGCTTGTGTGTGGCCTCTGCTCTCTGACAGTGGTTGCTCACAGAGATGCTTTTTTCCTCTGTGACTTTATTCTTTGTGTCCTTCATGGCTGATGATCAGGCCTGTGACCATACCTATTGTGATGGATGCAGTGTGAATCTTTCTCCTTCTTTTCTCTTGACTGCAGTTGCTACTTCTCCTGGAGCCTGGCGGATGGCTGGTGTGGAGCTGGTCTCACTTGTTTGCATGCCGGATGCCAGCTGATGTGGTGCTGTGCCACGTGAGTCTTTGAAAACATCAGCTGGCAAGTCTGATAGAGAGATCTTGTCTCCAGAAGTTCCTTCCTATTCTTCTCCCTCACCACTTTTTTTTTTTTTTTTTTTTTTTTGTTAACAAAAGCAACAAACAAACCAATTGGTTTGATAAATTAAGCGCTGGCTTCAGTGCCAGTGATGAAACTCCTGCTGACAAGCTCAATATGGTAGAGTAGGAGTGGGTGAGGACAGGTACGACTGCAGCGTTACACTGCCTGGTGCTCTTGTGAATCACACCAGCGAGATGGAAGAAGGTTGAAGAGACTTTCCTTGGTCTCAAAATGTTTCACACCATAGTGTGATGTTGCACCCACACAGTGCTGGCATGTGAGACAAGTGTGCTTTTCTGAAATACTGTGCTCAGGTACATCAGGCTGGAGAAAATTTGTGCAGCATTCTCTTGGAAGAAAACGGAGAATTAGTGGTCAAGGGATCTTTGTGCTGAGAAAATGTCAGTTACTTGGGCAGAATTGGGATCTCTGCCTGTGAATACCAGTGAGGGAGCTGAGAGATGCTGAGATGTCTTAGGGATGTGGTTAGTGGGCATGGTGGTGATGGGTTGACAGTTGGATTAAATGAGTGGTCTTTTCCAACCTTTATGATTCTGTGAATTGATAACTTCACCGTTCTGCAAACCAAAAGCCTCATTCTTTTCCTGGAGAAAGAGGAAGACAAAATGAACTGAGTTGTGCAGGTCCAGGAGTACAGCTACTATAGCCACTCTTTGTACTGAGCAAAGAACAAAGGAAATGTGCAAATCCAGTGTATCTACTTCTCTAGGTCAAGGTGAAATAGCACAGAGTGGCTGAAGACTTTTTGTTCTTCATTTTTAATCAGGAGAGAAAAAAAAAACAATAATACTTGCATTTACCATGCAGACAGAAGCTGTATTATAAACTGCAACCCATTTTTTACTCCTTTGGCAGGAGGATAAACGGCAGCATTCCCATGAAAGCCTGTGAGGCCACTTCTATTACATTTGGGCTTATTGGAGCTTGAACTTGAGCCCTATTTGCCCAGCTGGAAGACAGGAGTGCAGACAGAACTGGTGCTATGCAACCAGTGCGTCACAGGTGTCTGTGGGGGCTCCTGTCCCTGCTGTCCCCACCATTGTGTGATGCAACAGTGGCTCCCTGTCTGACACGTAGGAGATGGGTGTGGAGCTGTGGTCGTGCAGGCAGGTGATCAGGCTGTTGTGTTAAGACAGATGCATGTCTGACAGCCCTGCTATGGGACGGTGCGTTCACAGGAGTGCTGAGCCAGGGGATTAGGATCACGTTTCCTTTCCATTGTAACTCCATGATGACCTAAATTGAGCCCCTACCATTTTCGTTTTGGGGATATCATGCAGCACCTTATTTTGGCTGTTGATGCTGAGGCTCGCGCACCCTGGGGTGGTGGGGGATGATGCTCTGGTTTCCTCTTGGTGAGAAGAGGTGGACAGACACTGTGTGTGGGCTTTGTCCTCGCTTTTCCTCCCCAGCCCCACATGGGAACTTGGGCTCTGTGGCAGCGGGGAGAAGTGCATTGTGACAGAGTGTGGCCTGAGAAACTGCCTCAGAAGGGCCTAACACAGTGAGAGACCTGCATTCTGACTGGAGCTGGGGTAATCTGAACTAAAACAGCCTTTTCATAGATCTTCTATATGTCTCAGTCCTCATCTATAATGGAAGTAGTTGTACTTTCTCGTTCAGAGGGTGGATGTGTCTACAGACACCTGTGTTCCTCCTAGTTTTGAAATGCAGTAAGAATAGTTAGTAGGGCTCGTTAGGATTTCTCCAGATTTTGAATCTATATTTGGTATAAATGACTTTTTGTCAAGATTGAGTTTTCTGCAGGAAGCGTCAGCTTACAACTCAGTCCTAGTTCTGTAAAGCAAAAAAGTGCATTTTCTTATTTTTCAATTTGTGATGGTAACATTTTTTGAAAACAAACATGTTTTCATGAGAAGCACTCAGTGATAAGGCTGCTGATTGCCACGCTTCCATTTTAACCTTTGCCCCTCTGCCCCATTGTTTTTTTTTTTCCTCTTCGTTTTTCTTCTATTTCTGGAGAAATAGGTGTCCTCAGCCTCTTGATCCAGTCGTTTGGAAAGAAGGTTGGTGGAGCAACTACACTAAGAAATTGTTCTTTTTTTTTTCTTCTTAAGATAGATCTTGTAACCTCAGCTGAAAGTATTCCTTCCAAGTCTGAAACTATAGAAGTTTGCTAGTAAGATGAAAATGAAAGAAGATAACTCATGCTCAGGCATCTGTGGAGATGGGGGTGAGAAGGGAATGGACGGTTCTAAACCAGATGGAGAAATTTGCTGGTTCTACATTGCTGCTGTTTTTCAAACACTGTGATGGATTGTAATGCTTATAAGTGGGCATAGCAGTGGGGAGTCCAGCTGGCTGCCCAGTAGCTGTAGCAGTTCTCAAACGACCTGGCAGAAATTGGGTAAAACGAAAGCCTTGAACCACAGAGAGTCTCTGGTTGGCTCAGGGCTGTGAAGTTTCATTTGCCAAGGGTTTAGTTGTGGTGTGACTCGAACAAGCCAGGGAAGGGGTGACCCTTACCCTCAAATTCTTGCCATTTAAATCCCAAATGGACGAAGGAAGATAGTACATCATGATAACATTTAACTTCTGTTTTTGTTGCTGTTATCATAAGCAACACTACTGACAGCAAATGGGCACAGAAATGCTGTCTCTGTGCTGCGGGATTTCAGCCTGAACGTGGGCTGCAGGGGACCCTGAGCTGAGACTGGGGGCAGTCGGATGCCTTCTGTCTCCAGGAACTGGGATGCAGCATTTGTCCTCTGCTTCCTTATGCACTTGGTCACTGTTGGTCTGACTTCAGAGTTGGGAGACGCGCAGCGTTCTGCTGGGGCTGCCTAGTGAGACTGGGGGAAAAGAATGGCATTTTTTTGCTTTTGAATTGCAAAACATTATCCTTTGTTTGAAACCCAGGCTCTGTGGTGCTCTTATACTGCATGAGAATGAAAGTGAAATCAATTATTCTTCTTTGATCAAGAAGCTGGGGTGCATTCAAGTGAGAAAGTGAACTGCCCCCCTTTTGCTCAGAGTCTCTCTGACGGGGCTTAGCAAAATGCAGACAGCAAACGGTGCGTGCAGGGGGGAATCAATGAGGCTGCTCTGAAAATCTTCCACTTCCAGGAATGCAAACGGCATGAGGCCAGCAGCCTGTGCTTGAAAATATGGGTCCAGTCCTGGTGTGTGTTACAGACCCATAAATCACGAGGAACTGCTGAAAGGTCACTCCAGTGTGGGACCCACAGGCTCCCTGGAATGGGCACACGGATTCCTCTCATTCCTTAGCCATCCTTCTTTCCTTTCCATCTTTTTGTGTGTTTAAGATAACAGGGCTGGGCTATGGTTTCTCCTGCTGCTGGGTTGCTGTAGTGGAAAAGCTAAGTCATGGCCTCAAACAATGATTGAGCACCTGGTGAGAAAGCAGGGCCAGCCCAGGGCGCTCAGGTGCTTGCAATGTACCTGTGTGACTGGAAGGGGTGGAGCCAGGATCCACCCCTTCCCAGACCTCATTTGAAGGACCAGCAGTGGAGGTGAGGGCATCTCTTGCTGGAGATCCCTGCATACCTGAGGCTTTCTAAAGGTAAACAGCTCTTATCTCTCATTTCTGTACCTGTGGCTACTGCATTTGAGCTCATTCTCATTTGCTGTAGCCAAATACTTTGCCTCCCTGCTATTATCATCCCATTATAGCATTATAGTTGCCATCCCTACATTATTGCCCAAGTGCTACAACTGGGAGCCATTGGGGTGCTGCAGGGACAGCTGTACTCAGCTTCCTTGTCTGCTATCTAAATGTGTCATGCCTGAGTAACTTCCCATGTGTTTTAATACTGAGTCTATCTGAGGAAGCTGGATCCAGCCCCACTGTGCCTGAAGGAGCATGCTAGAATTGTCTCTCCTGCCCTGCAGCCTGCAGGTTTGCTGTTCAGTTGCTGCTAACTCCTCCCATTGCAGCTGATGCTGACAGTCCCTGCTGCAACCAGGACCAGGGGTTTGGAAGTGATAAGTCCCATGACTGCCCATTTGGACACATGTGGTGGTTGCAGATTTGCAGACAGCTCACGGCTGAGGACAATAAAAAAAGGACATGTGCTTCCTTGTAGATCAAAACTCCACATTTGCTTGGCATGCTTGTTGCTTTACACCATCACACGGCCTCCAAGTAAAAGCAGCAGCTGGGCCCATTAGTTGTTGGTGTGTGTATTGGTGAATTTCTGAGCAGGTGCTGCTTCTGGCAGTGCTGAAGAGCAGCAGAGAGGAAATGTCTCCAGCTTTAGTTATCTTGCATGATCTTTGCGTTAGATAGCTTCAGCAATGTTCTTTTGAATTGAGCAGTTTAATAAATGAAACCTGAGAAGCACAGGAACAAGTAAGCACAGAAAGCTGATAGGGATCCTGCAGGCATCAGTGTTCTGTGTTAGCGAGATGGGTCTGTGTCTCAGGGCATGTGTTCAGGTGCAGAGCTTCCTGTGCGTATAACCTGAGTTTTAAGTCAGTGTAAGATTCCAAGCTGAGATTTTCATAGGAAGGATCTCGTTGTCCTAATTGTGCGGTGCATGGGGAGCTTAGCTTTGCCAGTGATGATCAGAACTGCTAGAGCAGAGGAAATAACTTGAGATTTCTGAGCTGGGGACTTCAGCCAGCAAACAACAAATATTGGAACCATGTGGGAAAGGCATAAAAATGCATATGTCAAAGCAGTGCAGGCTTTTAAGTGTTTTTCATTTAAAATGAAAAGGTCAGATTGAGTGGGGCTGTCACGTGGGGACCTGTACATGTACCTGCCAGCCCTACAGGAGCAGACCCCTGTCAGGCCATGCTGGCGGCTGACTCTCTGAACTTGTCAGTGCTTGAAAACTGGCAACCAGAACAGTTACAACTCCAATTTTCCTCGTAGTGCTCAGGCTGATACTGAGCTTCCCAATGTGAGGCTGCTTTATCCCAGCTGTATTGGTGTTCAGGCTGCAGCTTCTACAAGTATAGCAGTATTGATTTAAGGAAACAATAGTAGAAATTGAACTCTGGGTACTTGTGAGACTTTCAAGCGTAAACCAGATTTAAAGGTAGATCAGTAAACAGGAAGCCTTGCTTTATGTATTGTTCTTGTGCTTTAAATGAAGGTGTTTTTATTGTGAGGTGTTGTTGATCTGTGCTGTCAGTGGCACAGCATTGGTGTCAGCAGTAGTGCATGGCTGCTTCTGGTCATCGCATCTCAGGATTTTGTACTTAGATCACTTTCACCTTTGTATCTTTCAGTTGGGATGGCTTTAGAAACTCTGAGCAGCTTTTTGTACCTTAAATTTAGCTAGCTGGGGGAAAAGAGAAAATACTTTTTCTTTTAATAAGTCTCTGTTATGGTACTTTCTTCAGGGGCTGCTCGGTGCTTTGACTGTGCCGACTGATTCCTGCTGTTTGGCTTTGCTTTAAAATGCTTTTAAATGACAAACTGCCTGTTGAAATGCTTAAGGGTGCATTAAAATAAGTGGTCTGTACTTCACTAAACATAAAAATAGAGTTTCACGTGTGTGCACATCTATGTGTCTGGACTGGGAAGTCTGTCCCTGCAGCTGCTACTCTGCAGGCACGAGCACACTGCTGTGCTGGGTTCTGCCAGATGGGAACTGTGCTCTGCTGAGCTGTGTTACCAAAGGGACTTTCTGCTGTTACCTCTTGCAATGCTGTAATTGCAATCTGGAATTTTTTGGTGCAGGATTATAATCAGAATTAGACACGTGCTGACCACTGAGCATCCATTGTGGTAAGCTAGAGAAGGGGCTGGAGTTGTGTAAGGCAAAAAGATGTCTGTTAGTGGTATTTCTGCTGCAAAAGCAGCTGAATGTTCCCCACTGGGAGAAGTGGGAAACCCAGAGGTGTCTCCTTAGGGTTGGTTTTCAGAAGTATCTCCCTGGGCACTCCAGTGGAGCAAAGACTTGTGCTGATGGTGATCACTGGGGTGTGTCTGTGCGTTGTGCTCTTCTCCTGAGCCAAAATGGGGATGGGCATGGCCGAGGAGCCCTGTCAGAGAGAGGGGGAGGTGCTTCTTTGGGACAGGGTGCTGCTCTGTGACCCTGCATCAGCTCTGGGATATGGGTAGCCTTGAGCTCAGGTGAGCTGAGGCAGGCAGGAGTGGGTTTTCTGCAAGCTTGTGGCTGTGCAGTGGGGTAACTGATGGGGACAGCCCCAGCAGGGAGGAGAAGGTGTGGGTCAGTGAGCTGAGTCTGCTGGCATCCTGTAACTGATCTGATAAATATTTCTTGAGTTAAACTCGCTGAAAGACAAACCTGAGCCAAGGTCTTCTAAACACAGGTTGGATCCCAAGAATATTGTTTTACCTGGAGCTCCCAGAGGGGCTGTTGTGGATTGAATTGAAACAGTGTTGGAACCAGAGGGGAATGTTGTTGTCTTCTGCCTTTGCAGATAAGACCGAAGGGCATATTGCCAGGAGCCTGTGGGAAGGACCTAAATTGTATGTAACTCTACATCATTTTAAAATGAAAAGTAAACTTGCGCAACCATAATATTTGCTTATACTTGTCTCCTCCCTGATGGATGAAGAGAAATTGCTCCGTGGCTGAATTCAGCAGCAATAAAACCGTGCAGTAACTCATCTTAATTTCTTAACCCTGTGGTGAGTGGGAGAGGCCACTGCTATCTCTGGTCCCCTTTGTCCTCACTGCACCTGATGGCAGCACTGAGGCTCTCAGGGTTCTGTACCTGCCCTACCCACACCTGGGCCCTGTGGGCTGGCTGCCAACACAGGGGTGAGCTGGGGAGGTGCCACAGGGGGTCAGTTGGATGTCAGTGTGCTCTTGTGGCATTGTTATGATGGAGATGTACCACTGCTTGGAGACCTGGACTTCTTGTTTTCTGCTGTATATTGTTGGTGAGCTTGTGGGCTCCCACACATCCTTAGGAGCAGTTCAGGTAAAGCAAGCACAAGCCTGAACTGAGCATTTCCATCATTATGGCAGCAAACAACAGTAGTTTTTTTTTTGTGTGTGTTGAGATGTAATAAGTGAGGTGATCCTGCACTTGTCGTCAGCAGGGATGGGGATGTCAGAGTGCTGGGGTTGTGGCTGGAATGAGATGCTGGGCAGGGGCAGGAAGGAGTGTGCGGTTCAGATGCTGCCTATCTCTGTGGATGCACTCAGCAGCGTGTCCTGGAGTCAGGCATGCAGGATGCTACTTGTATGGCCTGGCCAATGGTGGGCTGACCTCTCTGCTCTACCTGCATCTGCTGCACAGGGAAACGCAACAGCAACTCAGTTAAAGTAACAGCAAATCCCATGAGCTTCGAAACAGGAATAATACCTTCTACCTCCTCTATTGGTGCAAAGGACAGATTTAAGCTGTTTCTCGTGTTTTGTGCTTCATTTTATGCATTGCATCCCTACCTTTACAAATTGTCACATCTTGTTACGTTCCTAGTGTGGCACCCTAGAACTGATTAGAGGTGGTGATGCTTGGTTTCATGGGGCGCAGAGGGTGGCTGCTGTAAAGCGGTCCAGAAGTATGGAGGCTTCAGTCTGAAAAAGCTGGGGAAGGAAAATGCTCCGTTTCCCAGAAGTTGTGTGGGTTAAGTTGCAAGTTTTAGAGAAGAGCCGTCGGAAGCCCACCCGGCATGCATCACATGGTAACTCTTTTTCTTCACAGGGCTGTGAAAGAAACCCAAAGTCGTGACTCTGGCAGTCTCCAGAAGCCCCGCTCCGAGTTCATCCCACCAGCAAGGCTGTGCAGTGCAGGAGCCGGTATGTAACCACGTGTCACAGACACGTGGGGTGACTTCTCAGAAGGATTTGTGGCTTTTTATGACAGTAGCATATTGTTTGTGACTCTTTTAGGGGAGAAAAGTCTTTTAACTGAGTGTGGAGGAGTTGGGATCACTAGAAAATGGGGTAGAATGGTGATTTCCCTGTGCTGTTTACTCAGTGAGAGCTGGGAGAGAAAGGGCTCAGCACCAGCAAGAAGCTGTGAGTGTTGAGGCTGTGGATATGCTGTGCTGCATGGTGTATTGTGTGGCAGCACGCGTTCATGGGTGGTGGTTGGGTGTGCTGACAAATGCATGCATAAGAAATGCATATAGACATGTATATACATACATGGGCGCAGTACAGATCTAGGCACATGGAACCAAGGACGTACAATGCATATATAGTATATACTCTGTGATGGCATGTGAGAGCTTGAGGGTGTATATACCAAATGTCTGTATATACTATATTTGGCAATAAGGAATGCATATGCATTCATGTTCTCTTTTTTTTCTTTTTCTGTCTCTTCTGTGTCTCTGTGAAGCTGTTGCAAAGCTACCAGATTCAACCTCCTGGGGAGCCTTTCTGGCCAAGGTTTTACAAGCCTGCTTTGCCTGCTTTACTTCCTATATTTATTCCCTTGCACCTGTTTTTTTGCCTTTGCCTGCAAAGTGGAACTGTCCCAAACATTTGTTTAAATTTTTGGCTGTGCAGGACTTCAGCTTGCATGTCCTAAGCCTGCTTTTGTGCGTGTTGTGGGAGGTGGTGTGGGTGTATGTATCTCTGTGATGCTGCAACAGTCCCTGTGCTGTCTGTTGTGCAAGTTGTGCTTTCAGCCTCTTCAAGGCATTTTTATGAATCAAATATTCTGGGAGTCCCGCTTTTGTAATACTATTTTAAGGAAATCAGTCACGCCTGACCCATAGTCCAAGTGATAATGAGCTGTGCTGCTGTGCGGGAGGCTTGGATTAGATTTTATTCCCAGACCCCTGGGCTTTTACTTTTACCCTGGAGGGTTGGGAGTATGGCAAGGAGAGGGAGTGGTGGTGCAGCTGAGAGCTCACTGATTCAGCTGTGGTGGCACACAGATATGTCCAAATGACAAATCACTCTGTCATTTGGAGTGAAAGGTGCTCTTAAACAGAGGCACTGACTCAGTTTATGCTTAGGTACCAAGCATAACAGCAAGAGAAGTCATAATGCCATTTCATTTGGAACCTGAAGAGACATCCTAATGCCACATAGAGGGTTCGCAATCAGCAGACGCTGCTAGAGGGAACGCACATTCTTAATCCTAGATGCCGGGTTGCTGTTGTGCCCCATCCTTGGCACTGTCCCTGTGAGGTTGCAGCACTTTCTCCCAAGCTCTGGGCACAGAAGGGCTGCACTGGGCTGCCTTCCAGGAGCCAGGAGCTGCCTTGTCCTTGTGTGCTCGGTCCCCGTGCCCCCAGCCCCTCTAACAGCGATATTCATTTCTGGCATGGGAGTCCTCTGCTAAGGTCAGGCTTCAGCCCCAGGAGCCATAAAGCGTGCCTCGCCTGACCCCTGTGCAAAGGCAGCAGCAGTTAACAGCCTTCCCTGGGGTTTCATTTCCCTGTCCCCAGTGTGTGCCACTGCCGCCTGCATTCCTCTCTGGTTCGGTAAGCCCTTTGCCTCTTGAGCTGACACAGCTGATATTTCCCCTGCTGGCAGGGCAGGCGAGGTAGTGGCATTTAACTATTAAGGAGATCCTGGCTCCAGTAGCGCTGTGGGAGCCTGGAGCAGTAGGGATTGGTGCGTTCCCAGGATGGATTTTTTTTTTGTTCCCTTCCTTATCTTCCTCCTGCTTCATCCTGCTGCTTCTCCTGGCACTGATAATACATAGGAATTGTTTTTTTATGATGGGCTGTAAATGTCTGAGTTGGCAGAACTTTTCCAGGCACATTTACAATCCATCTCACCATGGTTTTGGAGCATCTTTTGCCCTGGTGGCTGTAGTGCTCAAAAAATTTCCATTTCTGACCATGGAGGACATCCTTCCTGCTGGCTACGTGGGACGTGTGGCTCTGGGGAAAGGTTTTAAGGGGTTTAAGAAGCATAATTGATTAGCTGTTCACAGAGCATTGGTCCCAGCCTGCATTTTGGGAATACAGTGCGCTGGCATTGCCTGGCTGTGCCACTCATTGCCACCTGAGCTCTTGGCTGTTCAGAGGTGCCTCTACAACTGTCTGTAAGGACGTGTGCTGTGCTGCCTTGTAAGGTTTACTTTTTGCAGTAGAAGTGACAGATGACTGAGTTAAATGTTTTATTTCAAAAGAGAGAAAGCTTTGTTTTCTTGTGATGCACAGGTTTAGATGTTTCTTGTCACCTGTGGGTGTCGGGGACTAAACTCACACTATCTTGGACCCTGACCCCTGTTGCTGGAAGTAAACGTGCAGCTATTGTTACTGTGGGAGTTTGGCTTCTCCTGCAGTTTGTGCTTTGGTATCAGTGAAAGCCAGATGTGCCGTAATGACACTTTTTTTTTTATTTCACTGCTTTTTGTGGCCATACATGGGCAGAGTCAGCTCTGGAATTCCTTTCCTACAAATTCAATAGCATCTTGTGGGTGGTGCTGGGGAATCACTCTGGTAGCACTGCCTGGGCAGCCTGTTCCCCTTGAAAACGTCCCAATTTGCACATTCCTCAGTGCTGTGTTCCTGGCTGCAGCTACTGGGAGGCTGCTGGGCAGAGGGGCTGGGAAGGTTTTGCTGTGCTGGTGGGCACATTCCCCTCCTGCTGGGCTGCAGGTTGGCACAGGGCAGCTGTGGGCAAGTGGGAGATGGCCATGCTGTGTCTGATGGTGGGAGCGAATAGCTTTTGTGTGAGAATTGGCTCTGCCCTGGAAGCAAAATGTCTGCCTTCCCACGTTGCTGCACAGGATGAGTGTTGCTGGTGGAATGAAGAAGTAAGGTGTTAATCTGCTTCTGTCTGCCGTGGCATCCCTGTGTCTTGCATCTCTGCCCAGGTAGCAGTGAGCCTTTTCTCTTGAAGCCTGGGTGCTCCTTGTTGGGCCAGAGAGGTTTTTGATTACAAGCTGGAAGAATGGCTTTGGGATCTAGGGATGCTGTTGTCCTGGAGCTCTTTTTAGATGCGGGAAGATCTTTGCTTGTCCAGGAAGTGTTCCTCTCCATAGGGTCAACTATGTGCTTTTTACAAAGGACTGACTGACTGAGTCAGATGAGGAGAGCGTTTCCTTGTCCCAGTTGAGCAGCAGGATCAGGACCTCAAGGCCATGTGTAGTCCTGATTGTGCTTTACTGGCTGGGTTGGCCTGATGCCCCTCTCAGATGGGACTGGCTGCTGGTCTTGTCTTTTCTGGTCACTATAGACAGAGACTAAATTTGCCTATTGGGTTTTCTGATAAGTTAAGGGATGAGAGGGACATTTCCAATAGCAATTGTAGATGAAGGATGATGCCTCCTGGACCTGCCCCTGTTGTGTCTCTCTATTCATCTCTGGAAGGGGACAAAAACACCTATTGTCACACACTGAGCCAGGAACTGCGTAAGGCAGGATGCGGCAGCGACGCGCAGCACCGGGTTCAGACTGCGCTCGGGTCAGCAATGGTGATGTGCTCAGTATTTGGAATTCAGGCTCGTGAGGGGCAAGTCGTCCCCGTGCCAAAGCCAGGCAAAGAAGGGTGATTTTTTTGACATCCTTCAGAGTTTTGATCTCCATATTTGGAAATGTTTACCCATTGCTCTGATCTATTGCAAGGGAGGGGAGGTGACTCAGGGTCTGGTGGAAGCAGGATTTGAATTCCTTTAGTAAGGGTTTTTTTTTTTTTTTCATTCTTGTTTTGGAAGCTTCTTGTGGTCACTTTTCAGTTCTCTTTTGCTGCTGGACCTTGTTCCAAATTTGATCTGCGCGAGAGGGAAGCGTATTAGTGCAGAAGCTTGCCTGGATGCTGGTAAGTGCATCATTGCTGCTTTAGTGAGCGACCTGGGGTTTTTTGTTTCGTTTAGTGGGATTGCATCAACGTGCGTGCGTGGCTGCTGGTGGAGGCAGGCATGCGGATCAGCAGTCAGCAGAAACTGACCCAGCAAAGCCTTCTGTAGCAGGGAAAGGGAGCTTAGTGGCTTGGGCTCATAAGCAAAATGTTTCTCCAGGCCTAGGTATAAAGATAATTTAAGCTGCCATTCAGTCATGCTCTTCCTTCTAGTTTCTGGGTAATGCAGTGAGGCAGCGAAGCAGTGTAGAGTTAAATGGGTATATATGCATGTGGTCAGAAGTAAAATATAGCTTAAGAAGGATTTCTGTCTCCTGAGTGAGTGTGTGTGTTAAAAAGCCTGTGTAATGCATAGATGTATTTATTTCAAATGTTAATATTTAACCGTCCTCTTAGAGAACTGCAGAAATCTAGCATCTTTAACTGGACGAAGGGAAAGCGTATGGCTTTTCCTGTTACTCTTTATTTTTCCCTAGTGAGAAGTTTTTTCTCCATCTGATACTGCAGCTGTCTGCTTCTCTTTATTTTTTCCCCCTTTCCTTTCTCCTTCCTGAAAGGAAACTGCGGTTCATCCAGAAAGTCAGAGATACAGGAGAACCTGGCGCATGCTTGGCTTCCTGTTTTATTCATGGCAACTAAAGCCATGCTCAGGAATCTGGAGTGGTGATCCACCACTGCATTCCTCTTGTCATTTGGAGCATGTAACACGGACAGAGAGCTTTTAGTGGCGGCTCTGGGGGCTGCCTAGCAGCAAGCCCTGTGCCTCAGACACCATTACTGCACCTCATCCTGTGCTTGGGAAGGGCTGCTGCTGAAATACGAGGTGTAGTTCCTCTGCTGGTTAGTGGTACTTGTGTCTCCTTTGCTAACTGGTGTTTTTAGACTGATACAAACTTGCTATCGCACTCTCCTGATTTTAAGCTTTAGTCCTCTTGTTTCAAAGTTACACCTTTGTTTTTCTTTTGCCCTTTTAAATGAGGATGAATAGTACTTAGGAGGTTCGGTTTTCCTAGGGATGTGGATCAGAC